GCTTGTTTGCCATACAAGTTTCATAACAAAAAGTATTGGTACCTCAAGTGCTTTGTCTATGGACAAGTTTACAACATGGAATTCTTTAAAATGAACTTTAACTGTTCCCTATATTTCTTCACGCCAATTCCCTTACGAGGTAGGCAGCGAGAAACCAAGTACCTACCATTGTCTCCTGTCCTTACAAACTACTCTTGCTTATTTAACATTCATAACTCGTCTAATTTATGCATATAATATGTTTTCAATGCATATTATCCTTTTGTTTAATTATATAATTAAATTAATCAGTTACTAGAACCTACTCCAGTTTCGCACGGTGTATATTATATTAGAAGTAAATTACAGATATATACAGTTATATAGAATAGTGTATAGCACAATAGATTAGTATGTCTGCAGAAGAAGTTTTTTTTTATTTTCCCGCTCAAAACGTAATGCGTCACAAATACACAATATTGCACGGCGCACAGCCGCAGTGGGATGAATTTTTTTTTTAGACTGCTCTAATGTTGTTGGCAGCAGATGGCCTTTACAGTTTCATCGGACAATAGGGGGCGAGTGCAGATGGCACTCCAAACCAAAGGACATACTTAAGGAGCGGCTGAAGGCCAAGTCCCGCCTGACGGATACCCCTAGCATGAGGGCACCGCTAGGGGTTCGAACCTCGACTCAAGCCGTCGTAATTTCGATCCCCGTTTGAACTGGACGGGGATCGATCGAAAAAGAGTCGGTTGAATAAATGGTAATGATGTAACCACACGGATATTGAAAATAAACAAATAATGTGTAATTTTGCTGAATTCAAATCAAATTATCGCCGATATAGCTTCCAATTAATGCGTAATTAGCCGTATTAACATACTTAAGAAGAAAAAGAAAAACAACACATTCGTAGCTCACAATATTAGTAGTAAGTACATGGGTAAATAGATATATATTGGAATGCCTACTAAATACAATGTCTTTATTTGTTTATTTTGTTTAATGGAGGAACATTGCTATGTTTATGTTATTAATATGAAATAAAAAAATAGATAGAATTAATTGTACATTGGATTTAAGGGTGACGCCGCGGAATGTTCAAGAAGATAAAAAATGAATAAAAAGAAAAACATAATCATAATATTCCATGTGTGAAGTTCTGTATTTAAATTTTATAATTTTATTTTTAAATGCGATATTTGGCTATTGCGATCGCAAACAATACTATACACATACTAAGTATTGCAACAGATACAGAAAATAATTAATCTACACAGGTGTACGGTTGTTTGTATTGGTCTGGGAGTTTTTATGTACCTATATTATGGATTTTTACAAAACAATTATTTAAGTATATCTATCGTCAGTTCTATAGTACTATAATATAAAATCTGCTTAGCTTGGAATTATATGGCACTGTGTGAATTGTCCTTGGTTTTTATTTTTAATGGGGAATATACTTTCCGAATGAACGGTAGATTAAAAAAATGTAATGACTATTCAAAAGTGCTTCAATGTAAGTTTATTTCAATAAGTAAATGATTCATATTTTTATTTTAAGGGTATATTAAGGTTTCTTAGGCGTTGGTAACATATGACTCGCCCGGTGTCCATAGGTGTGTATAACATAAAATTAAACTGGTTTTCAAATAAAAATTTGTGTTTGTTGGCAGATCTTCTTAATTGAATCTGTATACCGAACTGGACGATAGGGACAAAATATTAATACAAAAAATAACGTTTATAAGCGGCTAAAATGTCCTACATGAATGATTTGATTGTACATTGTAGTATTAAAAAAAACTCAACCGACTATAAAAAATCCTTCCATTTAGATACAGAAAGATGCACTAACAGTTAGTAACATGCAATGTTTTTTATTTAAAAAACAGTGTTTTCACAAGGATCGAGTACAATAGCCTCAATCCAAACATTGAAGCCATTGTGTTTTAATACATATGTATATATTTTGTTTTATATTATGTGTCAAAATTTGAGAAATAGTGACGAGGTACGTTACGTACGTTTGACACATAATCTGAGTAAAATCTACACAATTTGAACCGGAAGTGTGGAGTTAAGCATCGTATTCATCGTAAAAGTTTCAGCCAAATTAGTATTAGGATAATTGACCTTGCAATTTCCCAGCGTCAATTTCTTGAACTTATCACAGGAATCGTATAGGGTTGTCGGTGTTTTTGTTACATAATAATGAAATTAAATTTATTTGTGATAAAAGTTGTACATGCAGTAAATGGTAATCTTATTGAATTAATTATAATTATAATCTTACTTTTAGTCTTTACTGGCCTGGAAATATATATGAATGTAATAAAAAAACAAAGAATACTAAAGTCTCAAGATTGACCAAACGATCGGTGATTCCAATCGAATAATAAAAGAGTCCATTTTGTATGGCGATACAAATATTTAATAAGCTTCCTGACGATATAAGAACTCTCTCTGGAATATTATTTAAAAGAAAACTGCATGAATGGTTAGTGTCCAAGTGTTTTTACTCAATTAAAGAGTATTTGGAATACTAAATTGAAAAATTGTTCCTCATAACATTTAGATTTATATACAAATTGACATATACATACAATAATTCATAATTACATACAAAATCGATAATTCAATTAACTTATGATTTGTACGCTTGATATAAGCAGATTTTGCAAGGGCCATTTTTGTATAACATCATATATGTATGTACCCAAAATCTATTAAGTTTATGCATCGAAATAACACCTAGGCTATAAATTTCATGCAAGGGCAACCGCGGGCACAGCATATGGATATTATGTTGGTTCCATACTATAAGGTTCTAGTTCAGGATCTAAGTTGATTATTATATTGCAAAAGAAAAAATAATGTAAAATTATCATCATAGCCAGAATTTTATTCAACAAAAATATGAACTACTATGTTTAACTATTGTTAAACTATATTATTTAAAGCGGGGGCACCAAGAACTAACTAATACTACAATATTAGTACTATCTTTTAATGAGTTTATTGGATTTAAAACTAAATCTGTAATGCGTAAATGCATGGAATAAAAAAAAACATTCACTAAATATTAAAAAAGGGTTGATAAAATAGTTACATTATTTACATTTTTTTCATGGTATATTTTAATAATAAATTTTGTGAAACTTATTACTTTACATATTTTTGACAACCCTACTGCCATAGTACAATCTACAACGTAATGAGAAGAGAAATAGTTCCAACGCTGATGAAACTTGTGAAACTGAATATACTTGTAACGCCAATAGTGGCTGTGCAACTGTTACCAAGTCTTATGTTTTCTTTTCTTCTCCTGTGCTTATTGGCAGCATCTGGCCGCTTTGTTGTCAGCCATTTTAAATCCCGACCAAAAAGAAGAGTAACAAGTTTGAAACTTATTTCTATGTATCACAGAACAAAAAAGTATGTATGTCTGTATATATATACATAGACAAGTACAGATAAATATTCTGTACTTTTAATAATTTAATTTTGCAAACTTACATTTATAAAGTCCTAAATACACAAACACACAAACTAGTAAGAATTGGCCACACTCGATGGTCATACCTCCACAATTTCGACACTGTATGACTGTTTTATGATAAAAAGTGTTGTGTGATAATAGAATATTTCTGCCAAAAAATATCATAATAAAACACTTTGCTATTTTGGCAAAAGCTATTTTGTTTGGGTTGAGTTATTTTACTAAAGTAGTTGAGATACACATTTGCATCAAATATGTTACAGCAGAATTGTACTTACCATTCGCAAATGAAATTATAAGATAGTTCGTACAAATTTGCTAAATTCATAATAACCTAAATAAATAGTCTTGGACAATTTACACAACGCCAACTATTCCAAAGGTAAGCAGAACTTGATCCAGACAACTGATGTACATACTTAGATTTTTTAGAGGATGATAAGATGAACATGAGGTCAGGCCAGTTACCCCATCCTGGCACATTAATCAGGAATTTATTACGATGGTTCCCAGGAAGAACCGCGTGGAGGTCAACCTGATATGGTACATTGCTAGCAATGGGGTCATCAGTCCACATTACTAACAGTTCTCCTTCCTCCCTGGTAGGGATTTAGTTTTGTAGATTTTAATCCTTTTCAAAATGAGAATTACTCTTAACCTGGTTACCTAATTAACTAATTTAGACCTTAGTATATTTATCTAGTGGTTTAAGGCTTTGTCTAGTGACCTCTATTGTTCCCTAATTTGCTTATCTAATTAGATTTAGGTACTTCTATATCCGACCCTAATAGGAAATGCAGCGATAGGCTTGTATAAGTATTTATGAAACCGAACATTTTCCTCGACGAAGGTTAGAGGTACTGATAATATTTATCCTTCATTTAATTAGCATTTGCAGGTAGATAATTATTGTAAAGTGTTTGTGTGTTTCTGTTATACCGGTATTACGATGTCATTATGATTAGATTTGATCTCGGCGTAGATATTAATGGTTGCAAAAATTAAATTCAAAGAGGGTGAAATAGGGGAGGAATGTTTGTATTAAAGATGTATAATGTCTTAATCTAAAGATATAAAACGCATCACAAGAATCAGGGCATCGATTTTACGCAGACCCAATCGCGGGTTGTATCTACTAAGTTTATTATAAAGACCGTACAAAGCTTTGGCATTAAGTAGCAGTCGCCTAATTTTTCATAACATTATTATGAGATTCAAAATATATGGTGAACACATAAACACCAGCATAGACAACACAGAAACAAAATAGTCAAACAATAAACGTTTCTAAATTTAGGAGCATAAGTACTAAAACGGTAAACATAACAAAATAAAAAACAGAACATGAATTACACAGAATATCACTTTTGCAAATAAACACAGACATAAAAACTTTTTGGTTGAATCACAAACGCTGGCTGATTATAAGTTATGAAAAACCGGTATAAGAAAAAGAAAAATTCGAAACATCAGAACACAACACTAAAACCGGCCAGTACGAAATCCACTTGTTTACTTTAGCACGGCGTTTTGTTTGTACAATTTAATCTGCGAGGAGGTTAACTTTTAGACGAACGCGCGCGCACTCCCGTCCGTGAGACTATAACAACTGATTCATTGAATTTCATTGAGGTTATGTATGTTGTATTGTGTTTTGTATATGTAGATTAATGGAGGGTAAACCGGTACGGCGTGACGATCATTATTTACACAAGCATTTACTACAGCTGAACTACTATTTTAGATAGGTACCTATTGATTTTTCTTCTAAAAGAATGTTAAAAAAATAAAACATATTATATGTTAAAAATACATATTTAAATTACTAAATAACGATTTTAAAAAATATTATCAGAGAATATTATTGTATAATATTAATATGAATAGAAGAATTAGAAAAATAACTAACTTAAAATGATTACATCTGAGGAAAGCTATCATAACTATTCTTAGTTATCAATTCAATCATTATCAATTTATCAACAGTAATTTTATCTGTGGTAAATACTTAAAATAAATATGAAGTTAACTCTCATTTCGATATTAAATAGATTTGTATAGTTGTATTTGTTATTTATAGGTATATGTATTATTATAGGTATATTATTTTATTCTTCAACGATTAATTAATGTTGAGCATATTAATAACAGGTAGGTAAAGGATAAATAATACCCATGCTATCTGCATGGGAAGTTTAAATAGTTTTAAGTGATGCTTGTTTTCATTTAAGTCAAGACTTGTGTATCCTTTGTGTACTGAATTTCGAAGTAACAAATCCTATATGATTTTCAAACAAAGAACAGAAGTTACGTGAGCGAGATCCACAGGATTTGAGGGATTAGGAGTTAATTTATATATAAAGAAAATATGCGGGGATATAAATGTTACATCAGGAATGTAGAAACTTTTTTGAAATTTTCTGCTACCAACCTTTTAGCATTCCACATTTGAATACTTCGTTTTCGTTACTGGCATCATGAAAAGTTGTAGCTGTTGTTCTTTTTGTAATATGTTTTTTAATAATTCATTATTTTATATGTATTTTTTTATTTATAGCTTTAATTTTTGGGAGTTTTGATTATTACAGCCTTTTAATATTAAAACAAGTTACAAAAACGAGTTTAGTGTTATTTGTTATTTTAATATATATAATATAATACTAAGGAACGTCGCAGCTCTAATACTTTTCTCAGAACACATAAATCTGTATTAACAACATAATTTTCAAAAATTTATAAAAAAGCCAACTATATTTCTCGTAGCGGTATTATGTCTACTTTACACTGTCACAAAAGATGATCCTAAGCCTATTGTCACTTCAATATAAGTATACCAGGAATTCATGGAAGCGGAAAACATCGAATCTACAAATTTTGCATACATTACAGTATTATTGCTCTATATATCGCACTATTCCTGGAAAAAGGAAGTAAGTGATTTTCACCAACTTTTCAGGAGCTTAAAAAAACTGTCCTATATTTTTTGTATGAGTTCTAGAAATAAGTTTCAAAGAGAAAATCGTAGGTCACAGTTGCCTTCAACTACATGTGTCATTTAATTTAGGAACAGCTTCATGTACTTCCAGATAATCTAAAAAAACACGGTTACTTCTGTATTCCACGAAACACAAAGAACATTTGCAGGGGTAACTACAATTATTGCTTTATTGTTATGTATTTTGAAATATATGAACAAATTTAACTCTACTTACGCCTTTATACTCTCCTATATTTCATTATAATCTAGAGTTGCAAGTATAATTACGTTGTTATTTAACGGAAAATCATTTTTTGTACATCGAGTTACGTATTTCTAGGGAGCCATTTATTTTAGTTTAGTTAGTGTATTTATAAAAATAGCTTTTATAATGCGGAAAATAACTGAATATTTAATTTGTATCATGTAATACCTACTTCTTATAGTAAATAGTCCATTATGTGCGTGCATGTAAGTCAAAAGTATAAATATAGGGACAAATTAATTTAGAGAATATGAAAACAAGCAGGGTTATTATTAATTTTTTATTATTTTTAAAGAAATGTTTATTGCCTCCATAATCCACTTAATCAAAAAATGTTCAAAATAGTGATATTTTTATTATTTTTATTAACCTTTATTATCCTCAACTTCGGAATCGGACTCTGTGGTAGCAGATTTAGTACTTAAGTTCTTATAAAACGTCTGATAGTGTGGTGGTATGTTTTTATCTTTATATAGATTCATCAAGTCTTTGTATATATTTTAGGTATCAGTAGCGGTGCATCATACTAATGCCTGATTTCAGAAGGCTCGCTGTGTGCAGCTCTTTTTTTCTCATAACTCTTCTTCTTCTATTTGTCTATTATTTGGTGTCTCATCAGCGAATGCGTATTTTATTTGGAATTTCCCCGGACATTGAGGATGGAGCATTGCCGAAATCTCTTTAATTTTACTCCAACTCGTGTAGTAAATATATTAGATCCTAACATATGAAATTTGTACCTAATTACTCCCTTACAAAACGAAAATTTCAGTTGATTTTTCAAAATATAATATATAATTAATTATTTAATCACAATATGGTCCATTGCTATTCATGCACTTTTGCCATTTGATAAGTAGTTTTATTGATCCCTTTACTAAAAAACCATTAGGACGGGAATCGATAAATCGAACTTGAATTTTTTCCCTTGCAAGAAATTATCCAAATTTTGAAAGAAAGCAGCCGGGAAGTACGGTGGATATATTGGACATTTGAAGCTCTTCTAATTTCGTAACGTTATCCTGAAGCAGTAGTGGCCTATGGTGTTTGACCAGTCTCGGTTGTTTAGCAGCTAGCTTTTCCATCATGGTTTGCAATTGCTGACAATACACATCTGCCGTAATATTCTGGCCAGATTTAAGAAAGCTGAAGTGAACAACACAGGCACTAGTCCACTAAATGCTCACAGGTAACTTTTATTGAGTTTGAATTTTCGCTTGGGGCAGGATTTGGTTAGTTTACTAGGATTCAGCCATTGCGATGAGTGTTACCGATTATCGTACAAGATCCACTTTTCATAACAGGTAATGTTCTGATTTAAAATCCCTTCATTATTATGCCGGTTGGCTAATGTAACGCAGCAGTCTACGCACGTTTGTCGATTTGCTTCATTCAATTCATGATCCTTTCAAGCTTTTTTCACCTTCCCAATTTGCTTGAAGTGGATTAAAACAGTTTTGTTACTAACACTGCAGCCTGCAGTTAACTCGGACGTGGTTAGCGATGGATCCTCTTCCATATTAGCCTTTAATTCTTCATTATCAACCTTGGACTCTGGCTGCTCACGGGGCTTGTTTTGCAGATCGAAATTTCCAGAACGAAAATATTGGAACCACTGTGTTTTCTTTTGCGACACCATCGCCATACACATCATTAATTCTTCAAGTCGTTTCTGCACACTAGTGCCACGACGGAATTCGTACTCTTAAAAAACGCGATATTTTATGTTTTCCGTTTTGTAAACTCAGTGACGTAAAGAAAAAACCAAAGATGGAAAAAACATATGGATTACGGTTTTCTAAAAACAAATGCATGAGTAAATAACTGTACAAATTTGAAATTTGAATTCCTGGCGAAAGAGGAGATATTTGAGATCAAAGTGGCCAGTACGACAAAACACCAATTTCATATGTAAGGACCTAATATTATAGTACCATCTCTGAGAGGCTGGAGTAACATTTTCATAATCTGGGTTTTTCTTAATGCACTATAAGTATAAACGATGCATTTTCGATGCAAATCGGTGTGCGTAACCGCTAGACCACCAAAGCCAAATTGGGACAGGCCTATATCCAACTGTGGGTAGACACAAGTTGAAATTATGATGATTAGTACTTTGATAGTTTTCAGAAATCTTAATCTTAATATAATATTCTAAACGTGAAAGTTTGTAAGTATGGATCTTTGTTGCTCTTTCGCGCAAAAACTACTGAATGGATTTTTACGAAACTTTACACTAATATAGTTTATGCATCTGAATAACACAGGATATATTTTTTATTGAAATTTAACGCGGGCACAGCTAGTAATTTATAACAAAGTAACGTTTGCGGGACCAGCTAGTATTGTATGTGTACCTATTATGAGCAGTGGGAATTAATATTGAATATTATTGCTAGCAATATAAGGTACATGTAGTTCCACGCGGTCCATCCTTGACACCACCGTTAGTTAATTCCTGTTACACCTACAATAAGATTCACTGGCAATTGTATATTCGTTTATCCATATTTAAAATAGAAGTATTCTTTTTATCTATTGTTTTTATATACACTTCTATCAATTCGCTCTTCTATGGTAAATGTCTAAAAGCAGATCGATTTTTCTATCATTTATTATTACTATTCCTGGCAAATTCATCTGATCTCCTGCTCCTCCTATCATCCATCATTGGTGCCCGTCAGCTTATACAATTAGCTAAAAATAGTTTATTTATTTTACTTAATTTTAATTACATGAACATATTCTTAATTTTTTTTTCTTGTAAATACATGCTGTATTCAAAATTACCCAACATCAGGTATGAAATGTTACGTGTAATAAAGAAGTAACTACAACTACACTTTACGCATTGTGAAGTTTTGCTGGGGGAAAATTATGTAACAATAATTACATATAAACTATCAGCTAAAAGTTTCGTAGAAGAAGTAAGTAATTAGAATTACACAATAGTCCTAGATTGTAAGATATAGGAACAAGTATTTAAGTATATTTGCGTTAAACATTTTTTTGTAAATCTTCTTTTAAAATTTACGTAAATACAATTATGACTTTATGAACGGGATAATTGTAAAGCGAATAAATGCAAATACGCATACCTCTATCTTATGCTGGAATTTTATGTTTTCTAAAGTCGCAAAATTTTAGTATTTTTGCATTTATTCCTTCATTTTTGTCGATAGCTTCATGAGATTTTGACAGAAGGTGTAAACCGTGAAGCTCGATTTATTTATGTAATAAAACATTTTTGACGCAAGTGTAGTTGCGGCCTTTTTACACGGGGTGTGCGATATATGTTACTGGGGCTACATATATATACGGCTCGTTAGCCGATCAG